AGAAGTAGGAAGAGGAATAAGGAATAGTACAACAGGAAGGAAGGGCAGAAGATAAAGGAGGAAGCATAGGAAAGAACAGAAGGAAGACTGGAAGATAAAGGCAGAAGAGAAGGACAGAATAGAAATACATAAACGAAAGAGAAAAAAGAAAGAAAGAATAGGAGAGAAGGACAAAAGAGACTGAAGAACAAAACAGAACAAATAACAGAAGAAGAGGGCAGAAGAGAAGTAAGGAAGAGATGGATGGATGAAAGAGAAGGATGGAAGAGAAGGACAGAAGGAAGAAAGGAAGGACAGAAGAGAACGAAGTACAGGAGAGAATGACAAGAAAGGATGGAAGAAAGAGAGGGATTGATTGAAGAGAAGTACAGAAGATAAGAAAGGGAAGAGAAGGAACCAAGGACAGAAGTGAAAGACAGGAGAGAAGGAAGTACAAGAGATATGATAAGAGTGGTAGGAAGGAAAAAAGAAAGCAAGGAAGGAAGGAAGGAAGGAAGGAAGGAAGGACAGATGAGAAGGAAGGATAGAAGGGAGAAAAGGTCAGAAGAGAAGGACAGAAGAGAAGCAGGGAAGAGATGGAGTACAAAAGAGAAAGAAGGAAGGTAAAGAAGGACAGAAGAGAAGAGTGGAGGAGAAAGAGAAGAGAATGCATCTGTGTCTCTAAAACACATTCACACTTTCTCAACACAGATGTGTGTAGCGTATTAATGTGCTAATATTGTATTTTCTGTAGAATTTTAATATGACTCCTCCTGCAGTGTGTGTGTGTGTGTGTGTGTGTGTGCAAGTGCGTGTGTGTGTTGAATATGGGAGTACAAGACACACTTACAGGAGTGCATTATGACCACTGTACCCAGGTCTGAGGACAAACAGCACTGCTGGCGGTTTTATAAAACCTGAACACATCATTCCCCTTGCCTTTCATCCGTGTGACATTTCAGAAATGACGCTACACTACCGAGCACACACACACACATACACACACCCCTAGACTGAAGCAATAAAACATAATGCACTCTACTTGCAGTATCTTAATTTAATCTGCACTAAGTGCACACCCACACAGTGAACATGCGCCAACTCTCTATCTCTACGCATCGCTTTAATCTAATCCCCACTCAGGTCACACATTTGCCTAACACACATCAGACCATACAGCACGGGACTGCATTAGAGCATGATGAACTTCAAACAGGAATGATTTTCCTTTTGATTGTTTCCATTTCGGTAATTAAGAGGGACTCTTGAACCTGAGAGCACTGAGAGCAATCACCTGGGAGCGAGGTGAGATGCTTCTACAAATGGTAATTTCAAACACACACACACACACACACAAAAATTCTAGCAAACACAAAGGAACTACATCAAGTTTTAATCAAATGGTTTGAACTCCATCTTGCGGCTGCACCAGTGTGCATGCTTGATTACGAGACTTGTTGAGGGTGCTGGGTAATGGACTTTGGCTGTTCTGTGTGATGGAGGAGGAGAGAGAGGAAATGGGGTAGGAAAGCAGTAAACAGGAACAAGCCTCCTTGCATCGTGTATACCTGCACACCTCAATGCAAGTTCCATTAGCTGTATTAAAAGCTTTTAAGATTACACTGGGCTCAGTGACGTTTGGGACAGGAACATGTGTGTGTTAGTGATACTCACAGGTTACACTGGTCTCCTTTAATCCCCTTGGTGGTGCAGAAACACTTCCCTGTCAGCACTTGGCACACATTGGCATGGCCATTACACTTACAGGCTGGAAAATGAGAGAAAACAGAGTATGGGAGAGAGACAGAGCGAGAGAGAGAGAGAGAGAGAGAGAGAGGGAGAGGCAGACAGGGAAGAAGAGAGTGAGAGAGACAGAGCAAGAGAGAGAGAGATGTGTTTAGATGACGAGCACATAGCACCTCAGCAATTAAACTAATTAGACCTGCAGAAAGCTGCCTTTTAGCAAGTGAAAGCTTAACAGCAGAAAGTGAGTCACCAATCTACTTCAACAGTAAAAACTTTCTGTAGAAAGATCTAACGCCGTGAGACATAATTATGCATTACTGCCAATAAGCGTAATTAGTGAGAAGACAAACTGACAGTTGAGAACAGTATCTGTCAATCTCCCAGTACCACAATAGTCTAGAAACGCGTAAGTGGCGAAGTGGTGTGTTTTATATGATCTGCAGCAGAGGCAACAGAGAGCCACTATGAGGAAGAAGAGCTGTGTTTCTCTGGGTAAAGAGGAGATGAGTGAGAAACTCTGTCTCTAGACCACATTAACAATTCTCTCCGCACTAACCTCTGCCCTTCACATACGAGGTTTGAAGATGTGGAGAAGAAAATGCAGCCCTGTGGCAGCGGGTAGTAGTGAATGTGATGTTTTATGTAACAGTAAATCAACAGCTATCTGTGTATTTGTCTGAATCTGGACTAGGGAACATGATGGACATTTGAGAATCCGTGTTTTAAAAGATTTTTGTATTTCTGCCCCTCTGGATCACTACAGTTCTTTCCCACCAAAAAGTGACCCAAAGAAATGAAATTTTCTCTTTGACAAAATGTCAATGCCAGTTTTAACCTTTTATCTAAAATCCATTTCTGCCTGTTCTACATCTGTGGTCTATAATTTTTCCCCCCAATCTCCCCATGCCGTACTTTAAATACGCCTATTTTTGCTGCTTAGGCATCAATTTTCTAAAAGTATGTGCCATAAAATTGAGTGTCTTAAAATTGCTATTATATATAATATAAAGTAGTTAATCATTTCCAGCAAGAACTTATGGTTACTTTTTCCGTGGCTGAACCTCAAATGGTGTTTTACTGGGAAAAGGGTGCATTACATAAGTGTGCAATATAAAATCGAAATGCATTTTAAAGGAATTTGGCAGACAATGCGTACAATATTAAAGCATACAGACTATTTACATCTCGCCTGTGAATTCTGTTTTCTTGGGCTTTCCTTACATGTCAGGTACTGCAGGAGTCAGATCTTTGTTTAATTACTCTAACCAATTTGAGCTGGGTGTAAACGGTGTTTGTTCATCTCTCCAGCCAACCCCATCAGTATACACTGCCTGTATCTAATTGCCATGCAGTTACTGTAACAGCACGGCTTTAGCTTAACATCTATAACACTCTGAACAACAAGAGGTGTTGTGCATAAACTGATTGACTCTGAACAAAACAGCCTCTGAGAGGAGATCTGGTTCACTGCTGGGGCAGAGAGCTCTGTTTTAAATGAACAGAGCCAGAGGCTACACACCACCTCTCACCTCTACCATACAATGTGCTTCTTCACTTACAAGGCAATACCAATGAATTGCCTGCTGCAATCTCAAACACATGCATGCACGTGGGAGAGCTTCTGCTTTTCCATTACAGCGTAAACCTTCCCTCCCACATCTAAATGCACCGGCTCCTGTATGACCTTAACACAAATCATGTTCTGTGTGGGTTTAGTCAGTCTACTACTGTGTACTGTTAAATGCCTCAGCTGTTGAGTCTGACGTTGCCTCCTGTTGGCTAAATGCCTCACTGACCTTGACACTTCCCTCCATTGGTGGGGTCTCCGTGATAACCAGGCATGCAGGTTTCACAGTGTGGGCCGGTGGTGAGGTTACGACACTGCTCACACACACTTCCATTCACACAAGTGCTGTGGCCGTTACACTGGCAGGCTGGAAGAATGGAAGGAGAAGAGATTAAACTCCCTGCCTGCACCTGTAAACAAACACTCAAGACTCTTCCACTATATTTATTCCACCACAGGACAAACACTGTAGCGAGATGCTGAGCATACAAAGAAAAACTTGATAATGTTGGATTTCATGTTAGTGTGTGTTCTCACGAGGGCACTGGATAAAGGCCCACTCGTAGCCTCGCTCCTTGGGGCAGAGAGTCGTATCCAGCAGCATGTCCTGGTTGTGTTTGGGTGGGTTCTTCATAGGGCCACGGTACGAGCCCTCCACACACTGCCCTTTACCTGTGTTAGTGGGGTCTCCACACCAACCACAGTCAGGCTGCTCCAGACACTGACGACAAGTCCGAAAGCCAGAGCAGTTCTGAGCTAGAAAGCAACAGAAAGGTAAAAGTGGTGAAACAAAAAGAGTCAAATACTGTAATACCATAAATAATGTAAAAGAAAAAAAAAAAATCACATTTTGGGCATATTGCCTAGCTCCATAAATGCTTTTTGACATGGCAGCATTGAGAAGTGAAATTTTCTAATTAGCACAGCAACAGCGAGGCTCACGTCAATAGCATTATACTGCACATTATATAATATAATTATATCTAATGACTAGAGACGAGAACATTTCCAGAATCAATTTTTTTCATATCATGTGTCTGATTCATCACACACACACCAACTCTTGCTAATCACATTCATAGAAATCACTGCTTCTCATCATGTAGTGCAGCAGCTTTATCTAGGGTGCAGTTTTTGCTCACCAGATGAGTCCCATGAGTCCCTCCAGTTGATTCCTCACCTAAAACCATGACCATGTGTTGGTCCTGACTACAGCTAATTCATATGGCAGGTGAGAGAGATGCACAGAGACAGAGCAAATGCAGAAAGATAAGCAGGGGGGAACCAACCATCTGGCAATGAACAAGAACTAAAAGCAACCACTTTTCCACACATAGCTGAAGCTTGAATGGACATGTGGCTTTGTTTTAGTCCTTCAGTTGGACCAGAGGGTTTGTGTACGTCCTTATTGCTCGTTGGCAGATGGTTTATTTTCACCTCCCATGGTCTTTAATGCCCAGGTTAGCAGATTTAATGCTTATATCCACCACAAATGGCCATCAACAACACACACACACACACACACACACACACACTCTCTCTCACTCTCACACTCTCTCTCACTCTCTCACACACACACGTGACTAACATAACTGTGTTTCTAAATCACAAATGATCATGATACAGTATACAGTCGAGTCCATAAGTATTTGAACAGTGACACAATTTTCATAATTTTGCCTCTGTACACCACCACAATGGATTTGGGTCCCTGGGGGACTAGTGGTTTGGCCACAGCGTTCTCATGGCTGCGGCTTGGGTTCGAGTCCCAGCCAGGGAACCAACCCCAGTGCAACAGTGTGCTCTCAGTTCCGGTCCCAAGCCCGGATAAAATTGGGGAGGGTTGCATCAGGAAGGGCATCCGGCGTAAAAACTGTGCCAACCTAAATACGCGGACCAATGATCCACTGTGGCAACCCCTAACGGGTGCAGCCGAAAGAGGAACAACACCACCACCACCACCACAATGGATTTGAAATGAAGCAATCAAGATGTGATTGAAGTGTAGACTTTCAGCTTTAATTCAAGGCGTTTAACAAAAAAAATTGCATTTACTATTTAGGAATTATAGCCATTTGTCACAGTCCCCCCATTTTCACAGGCTCAAAGGTAATTGGACAATTGACTGATAAGCAGTTTCATGGCGAGGTGTGACCTGTTTCCTCATTTTTTCATGCGAAATTAAGGAGATAAAAGGTCTGAAGTTGATTCCAAGTGTTGAATTTGTATTTGGTAGCTATTCATGGGAACTCTCAATATGTGGTCCAAAGAGGTGTCGATGCAAGTGAAGGAGGCCATCATTAGGCTGAAAAAACAACACAAACCTATCAGAGAGATAGCAGAAACCTTATGAGTGGCCAGGTCAACAATTTGGTACATTCTTAAAAAGAAGGAATGCACTGGTGAGGTCGGCAACACCAAAAGGCCTGGAAGACCACAGAAAACAACTATAGTGGATGATGGCAGAATTCTTTTCGTGGTGAAGAAAAACCTCAAGATGCAAACCACTGGTAACACTCAAGAACAGAAAGGCCAGATCAGACTTCTTACATCATAAAAAAAAAAGCCTGACCAGTTCTGATGCAAGATTAACTTGTACCAGAACGATGGGAAGAGAAGAGTATGGAGAACGAAAAGAAGGGCTCATGATCCAAAGCATACCACATCATCTGTCAAACATGGTGGAGGCAGTGTTATGGCATGGGCATGTATGGCATGGGCATGTATGTCACTGGTGCTTATTGATGATGTGACTGCTGATAGAAGTAGCAGGATAAATTTTGTATAGAGCTGTACTTTCTGTACTATAAAGCTATAGAGCTATACTTTCTGCTCAGATTCAGTCAAATGCTGCAACGGCATTTCACAGTACAGATGGATAATGACCCAAAACGTACCACAAAAGCAACTCAAGAGCTTCTTAAGGCAAGGAAGTGAAATGTTCTTAAATGGCTGAGTCAGTCACCTGACCTCAACCCAATTGAGCATGCTTTTCACTTACTGAAGACAAAACTGAAGGCAGAAAGACCCACAAACAAGCAGCAACTGAAGGCAGCTGCAGTAAAGGCCTGGCAAAGCATCTCAAGGAGGAAACTCAGGATTTGGTGATGTTTATGGGTCCCAGACTTCAGGCAGTCATTTACTGCAAAGGATTTGCATCCAATTATTAAAAATAATCCTAATATTTATGATTATGTTAGTTTGTCAAATTACATTTGAGCCTGTGAAAATGGAAAAAAAAAAGGTTGTAATTCCAAAACGGTCAACGCAATATTTTTTAAACCTTTGTTAAAGCTGAAAGTCTACACTTCTATCACATCTTTATTGTTTCATTTCAGATCCACTGTGGTGGTGTACAGAGGCAAAATTACAGAAATTGTGTCACTGTCCAAATACTTATGGACCCAACTGCATAAAGAGGAAAATATCTTGCAGCTTTAACACTCTAACCTAAAGGATATTTTGACCTTGTTCATAAAATATCAAACCAAAATCAATAATTGTGATAGTAATTTTAGTAATGAAATTGAAATTCAGCAGGAGTATAAATAGTGTACATGATTGTTTTTCAGAGACACACACTGCAGAGACGTCCAGCTTCGTGCATCTGGGCAAGCCTCAGCACAGAGAAAGTGTTCTTTTCCCTCTCCAAAAGAACAAGTGACATATATATATATATATATATATATATATATATATATATATATATATATATATATATATATATATATATATATATATATATATATATATATATATATATATATATATATATATATATATATATATATATGAAGGGCAGTGACATGGGTGTGCTGTGAGATGAGCTATGGTAAGTAACTGTCGCTCTGCAAGATAGAGAGATACACTCTGGTGACAAAAATATTTCCCCTAGTCAGAGATTTACAGACTCACACCACCCACTTCTGGTTGAGAGATTTTAATTCTTTTTCCATCAGAGTGAGCAGTTCGATTCAGTGAGTGAAAAGCTGGTGCACGCGCTCACACACGCACACCTGTCTTTTAGTTTGCAATGAAATTCTCTCTCTGGCAATAAGACATATGAGACACTGACAGTTCCACTGGAGCTTTTCTTGACAACAGAGAATTTTCAATAACTCCCAAAATCTTAACATCTAGAATGATTTTCCAGTGTCAAATGGAAAATGAGTAATCTCTTTGTCCAACATTCTAACTGAAGATACTAGCATTAATGTCGTTCAGTATGCAATTAAAAATAACTAGATCAGCTCTGGAGTGGAGAAATTTTTCCCATATCTTAGGGAGACTGCAAGCTCGAATCCTGATGATGCTGCAGCCATCCGTGGCTGGGAGGCGAGGGAGCAAAATTGGCCATGCTCCCTGGCATACTCTTTCTCATCTGTCAATCACAGTGACACTAGCCAATCTTGGGCATGAGCAGCAGCTCGAAAAGATGCAGCTGGTTGGCTTCATGTGTCTTGGAGGAAGCACATGCTAGCTTTCACACTCCCCAGTTGGTAGCTGTCATATAGGGGATATGGGAGAGCTGGCAGGTGGGTGGAAACTGGCAGGTAACCAAAATAATAATAATAATGATAATTAAAAAAAAAACAACGACAACAACAAAAAACACAATAACTAGACCTGGATATGTATGTTATCCTTCCAAAGTCTCCTTTTTAAGAAAGACACAAAAAAGCAGTACTGCCAAAGCTTGCTTGTTTCTTGATTTCTGTGCTTGCTCTGAGATCACCTAGATTGCCAGGAGGGAAATTCAGATGTTTAATCAGAGAAATTGCCAGGTAGTTCTGCTAATGAGATAAAAGAGGAGCTCTTGTCGGAGCCAGAGATCACTCTGATGCAGATTAGAGGTGTTTTTCTGTAATCTTAACCCCACTGAGAAACTATATTGTCGGTTACAGACGCACAAATAGAGTTGCAATTTTAAACCAAGCGATGACTTCAGTGAATGAATGCGGGTTTGTACCCATTATTGTGTGTGAGCGTGTGTGTTTCATCCAGGGTGTATTCCAGAGCCTTTGTTTTTCTCCTACAGCTTCAGAAGCTCTTGGAAACATTGTGTGCTACACTTAATTTTCTACTACATGCACTCTTAGTGCTGAAGCACACTTCAGCTACTTCCTGAATTCTTCTTCACATGTTTATTATGATAATGAATGATCCTTTGTTGCCATATTGTAAAACAGGATCGGGGCTACAAAATAAAAGAAAACAGAGATTACAAGACTAGCATGATATATATAATTTACTTCTGTGCATCTTAAAGCCTCCAGTGTAAAGGAAGTGACATCTGCAAGTTGATGTCCACTGCAGATACTTGGAATCCATCAGTGATTCCTGACTGCATCTTCAATCCCAGCTGTGATGTCTCTCCTATGCAAATCTGATGCCGTGCTCATTGAACACTAAAATCTCTAAAACACTTACACCAGCTCTCACTTCAGACACCAACAAACACTCAAAACAAACAGCAGCCACAGACTGCCAACTGTCTCGCTCTCACACGAAAACCCAATCCCATTTTCACCCTCTATTTCCTTTATGTACCATCCTGTACTACACACACTCACTACCTTACACACTTACTGATATCCACTGAAATCAATCAATCAATCAATCAATCACAATAGCCCAATCATACATATTCCAACATGTGATATGCATCAGGCAGGAGGGGAGACTTACCCACACAGTCTCCGGTCTGCCATTCCAGACACTGGCCATAGGGGAAGGAGATGACGTAGGCGTTGGAGTCCACGCAGCGCTTGGTGCTGCCACACCACATGCACTCTGTGGCCTGGCTGGTGCAGTTCTCACAGGTCACATGCAGCGAGCAGGGTGTCTTACATGGACGTGCATTCCGGCTCTCTGCAGACACAAAACAAGACCCGTATCTCAGCTCATGAAGTAGTCTAGGAGTGAAGAGGATGGCTGTACTAGGTTCTAACACTGCCAAATGTGCTCTCTTAAGCAAAGAAATCACAAGGAGGAAATAATCACAATTTTTATCAGAAATGTTTCAGATTCAGTTTAAGCTTGTGGACTCATAACTGCAAGAACACTTTCTACATGACCCCAACTTTCTACACTTTCTACCAATAACACCATTTACAGCTTTGTTTTGGAAATACAATACAAATACAATACAAATCATTGATGATACTCCCTTACTTTGCATTTCTTAGACTACCCCACAATCACAGTAACCGCCATCACACAGGCCAAATCTCTAAATAGGTTCACTACAGGGTGTCCCAAAAGTCAATTTTAGCAAAATGTCTTCCAAAATTTTTCATATTTAGTTTATATTATTTTTTTCAGTTAGCCTTTAAGAATGCCTTTGACAAAAGAAGAACGTATTGAAATCATTCTCATGGCTGGATTGGAAAGCTGTCGCGAGGTTGCGATGGACATGCAATTACATGCATAACACCAGATGTGTTAACATGAGTTCATCATGAGTGGGAGAGATGACCCCATGGTGTTTACAAAGAAATGGCAATCATGTAGCGGATGTTTTGTAAATAAACTTACATTTTGCTAAAAAGTGTTAAGTTCCCCTTTGTAAGGAGACTTTTGAGACACCCTGTATATATGCTCACTAACCAGAGATAACATAATGCTGATCTGGAATCTATGTAGAGCGCAGTTTACTTAATTTGAAAAATACTATAGCTTTTTCATAAATATTAAAATAATGAGTGCCATAAATGCATTTATTAATGCAATAACCAGACCAGTTGTCATACAACAAGCAACAAGCATTTAGGAAAACTG